AGCACTACATGGCATAACAGTTAAAATACAAATATAAATTACATAAAATAAAAAAATAAATGAAATATTAAATCTCAATAGGTAGGCTAGAAAAATGTCAATAAAGTCTCTCTCTCTCTCTCTCTCTCTCTCTCTCTCTCTCTCTTCTCTTTCTCTCTCTCTCTCTCTCTCTCTCTTTCTCTTTCTCTTTCTCTTTCTCTTTCTCTCTCTCTCTCTCTCTCTCTCTCTCTCTCTCTCTCTCTCTCTCTCTTCTGATCAGTTAGTTTTATTTTTCCAAGCTGCATTGGTTGTTCCTTATGAGGTTTGGATGAGATGGGGTTACTCACAAATGTTTTGGTTCCTGAAACAGCCCACCCAGATAGAGAAGGACCTGGGTAAGAAGCACGAGTGCATCCTCTAGTTGTTTCTCTCCTTCTTTCCATGAGCCTTAGGTCAATGCGAGCGACGAGATCCTTTAATCTCTTTAGTGTGAATTTGGGGAAGCACCTACAATGTACATTTCAGGCCCCTACATGATTTCTAAGTGGTAGAACTTGCAAAATCGCTAGGTGTTGAAATACTTATGTTCGTCACTGTGTGTGTGTGTGTGTGTGTGTGTGTGTATATATATATATATATATATATATATATATACCGTAAATCTTCTAATATTAGCCTGTATTTAATTAACTGCCGGGTATCATATTTTGGCCGGTGTCAGCGGAGGTGAATAATGGCCGGTTTTTTATTGCGGCCGGGTGGAATGTGGTAACAAGCAAGTACGGGGAGCGGTTGTGTCATCCGTCTCACTTTTGATTTGCCAGTGATAGACCGCGAGGGTAACTTTAACCGTGCGGAGACGAAGAGGAGGCGAAAATTTGATATCAAGTTCAAAGAGAACGTGCTGATTATGCTGCAGAACACTCTGGGGAGCAGTAGGGGTTGTATGAACTAGTCACTAGTCGACTTCACCGCTCTATAGTGACTTTTTATGCCTGTCATCGACTAGTCGCTGTCACGTGATAATGACCGGCAAGATGCAATCCACGGAAAAGACAGCAGCCTGCTGTCAGCAGTCAGGTCCCCACCTGGGAAAAAGTGTTGGGTCACAACAGTACAACTAGTCTAGGCAAAAAAGCTTGTATTGATTTGGTCAAAGGCATGACACCAATCCATTGCTTTAGTCTGATTTGTATGACAATGGAGTTTTTGGGTTGGTAATTTCTATTTTCAGATATTGAACATCAATGTTATAAGTTCAAGTGAGAGACTCAAGTGATTGATTTCAGTATAAATGAAACGGGCCAAGAAGGAAATCAGCATTCAAATGGACCTCACTGATTGTGCTAATCTTTGATTTCAGCTGATTCTTGAACTGTGTCGTTCTGAAGAGACCGCAGAGCTCCATGTTATTCAGCCACACCTTGACCGAATGCAGAACCTCAGATCTCTGTGGAAGATTGAGGTAGGTGGAAACCTTTTCTGAGCTGGTGTGTACTGGCTTTGTCTGTGATTAAGTTTACTAAAATACACTGAACAAAAATATAAAAGCAACACTTTTATTTTTGCTCCCATTTTTCATGACCTGAACTCAAACATCTGAAACTTTTTCTACATACACAAAACACCCATGACTCAAATATTGTTCTGAAATCTGTTTTCATGTGTGTTAGTGAACACTTTTCCTTTACCAAGATAATACATCACACCTCACAGGTGTGCCATATCAAGGGGCTGATTAGACAGCATGAATAATGTACAGGTGTGCCTTATGGGCCATTCCCATCTGTACCGGGTCGGCCTGGGCCGGGTAGCCCCAGTCGGCCCCAGCCTGGCCCGGTTGATTCCACACATCCTTGCCTTAAGCCCATGTGGGCTGATTCTTCCCACCAATCAGAGGCTTGCTCTAATGGAAGGTGTGAATTTGCTGTCAGCAGTGGGTGTGTTGGCCCTGGTCGGCCTGAAGCAGACCCCCTCGAGAAGAGGGCTGAGAATGAGCCTTGGTTGGCCCGGAAAAATACCAGGCCACCCAGATATGTAAACAACCTACGCTACCCGGCCCGGGCCGACCCGGTACAGATGGGAATGGCCCAGTAGACTGCCCACAATACAAGGACACCCTGACTTGTGCACAGTTTTGCTTTAGATGTGATGTAGAGGGGCAGAAAACCAGTCAGTATCTGATGTGGCCACCATTTGCCTCACGCAGATTTACACATCTCCGTGACATAGAGTTGATCAGATTGTTGAATGTGGCCTGTGAAACCTAGGTCCACTCCTCTTCAATAGCTGTGCTAAGTTGCTGAATATTGGCTGGAACTGGAACACGCTGTCGTATAAGCCTATCCAGAGCATCCCGAACATGCTCAATGGGTGATATGTTTGGTTAGTATGGTGGCCATGCAAGAACTGGGATGCTTTCAGCTTGCAGGAATTGTGTACAGATCCTTGCAATATGGGGCCGTGCGTTATCATGCTGCAATATGAGGTGATGGTTGTGGATGAACGGCACAACAATGGTCCTCAGGACCACAGTGCATTCAAAATTCCATCAATAAAATGCACCTGCCCATACCATTACCCCACCACCACCATGGGCCACGTGTTCAACAACGTTGACATCAGCACACCACTCACCCACACGACTCCAGTCTCCCATTTGCCCTAAACACTGAAAACCAGGACTCATCTGTGAACAGAACACCTCTCCAACGTTTCAAACGCCATCAAATGTGAGTGTTTTCCCACTCAAGTTGGTTACGACGACGGACCTCAGTCAAGTCCAGACACTGATGAGGACGACGAGCATGCGCATGAGCTTCCCTGAGATGGTTTCTGACCGTTGGCGCAGAAATTTTCTGGTTTTGTACAGGTCCTTCTCAAAAAATTAGCATATTGTGATAAAGTTAATTATTTTCTGTAATGGACTGATAAACATTAGACTTCCATATATATTAGATTAATTACACACAACTGAAGTAGTTCAAGCATTTTATTGTTTCTAATATTGTTGATTTTGGCATACAGCTCATGAAAACCCAAAATTCCTATCTCAAAAATTTTGCATATTTCATCCGACCAATAAAAGAAAAGTGTTTTTAATACAAAAAAGTCAACCTTCAAATAATTATGTTCAGTTATGCACTCAATACTTGGTCGGGAATCCTTTTGCAGAAATGACTGCTTCAATGCGGCGTGGTATGGAGGCAATCAGCCTATGGCACTGCTGAGGTGTTATGGAGGCCCAGAATGCTTCGATAGCGGCCCTAAGCTCATCCAGAGTGTTGGGTCTTGCGTCTCTCAACTTTCTCTTCACAATATCCCACAGATTCTCTATGGAGTTCAGGTCAGGAGAGTTGGCATGCCAATTGAGCACAGTAATACCATGGTCAGTAAACCATTTGCCAGGTCGTGCTGAAAAATGAAATGTTCATCTCCATAAAGCTTTTCAGCAGATGGAAGCATGAAGTGCTCCAAATCTCCTAATAGCTAGCTGCATTGACCCTGCCCTTGATAAAACACAGTGGACCAACACCAGCAGCTGACATGGCAACCCTGACCATCACTGACTGTGGGTACTTGACACTGGACTTAAGGCATTTTGGCATTTCCCTCTGCCCAGTCTTCCTCCAGATTCTGGCACCTTGATTTCCGAATGACATGCAAAATTTGCTTTCACCCGGAAAAAAAAGTACTTTGATCCACTGAGCAACAGTCCAGTGCTGCTTCTCTGTAGCCCAGGTCAGGCGCTTCTGCCGCCATTTCTGGTTCGAAAGTGGCTTGACCTGGGGAATGCGGCACCTGTAGCCCATTTCCTGCACACGCCTGTACACAGTGACTCTGGATGTTTCTACTCCAGACTCATTCCACTGCTTCCGCGGGTCCCCCAAGGTCTGGAAGTGGTCCTTATCCACAATCTTCCTCAGGGTCCGGTCACCTCTTCTCGTTGTGCAGCGTTTTCTGCCACACTTAGTCCTTCCCACAGACTTCCCACTAAGGTGCCTTGATACAGCACTCTGGGAACAGCCTATTCATTCAGAAATTTCTTTCTGTGTCTTACCCTCTTGCTTGAGGGTGTCAATGACGGCCTTCTGGACAGCAGTCAGGTCGGCAGTCTTACCCATGATTGTGGTTTTGAGTAATGATCCAGGCTGGGAGTTTTTATAAGCCTCAGGAATCTTTTGCAGGTGTTTAGAGTTAATTAGTTGATTCAGATGATTAGGTTAATAGCTCGTTTATAGAACCTTTTCATGATATGCTAATTTTTTTAGATAGGATTTTTGGGTTTTCATGAGCTATATGCCAAAATCATCAATATTAGAAACAATAAAAGTGTAAGGCTAGCATACGTGTTTAATTTGGGTGCTTTTTAAGCTCAATACACTACGTTTGACCAAAAAGAAGTGAATTTCTATATAAATATGGAAATCCAGTCTGATTAGTCTTTGAATGTTTAACCAGAAGATTTAGAATTTTTTGTTTATTCAGGGATCGTAAGATACTTCGTATCAATTCAGAGTCAAGTTTATAAAAGTAAGAAATTTAATTTCTAAACAATTAAAAACATGACAAATAAGAAACTCTTTATGTGATGAATGAATCTAAGTGGATGGAATGTGGATGATGTGTGAATGCGATGTTATCAGAACCTTCGAATCTGGAGAAACTGAGTTCTGAGTGGGAGTGAATTTGGTCTGCTATAAACTATAATTGATGGTTTATAAAAACCACATCAGATGCAATCATGTGAGCCTACGTACCCTTCGTCGGAGACCCCCGTTGTAGATCTGGACTGTCAGGAAGTCAGATGGACCCCAAAGGTACCGAAGTCCGTAGGAGAAACTGCAGTACGACCAGACTGGTCTCGAGATGTCTCCAGGTCACCACAGTTGTTTGCGTCGTAGGAATACCTCTTGAGTTGAAGCTCGTTCAGCTTTATTCTGAAGGAACCGTTTGTGGTCAGCTGTAGCATGCAACAGGTTTTGACAGCTTGTCAAAAATGTGATGGGAGAAGAAGCTTGCTCCGATGGCCAGTCAGAGTAGGGATCAACTGAATCACTCAGGAAGTGATGCTGTTTAAATAATGGCCATATTTTGGTTTACTGATAAATCAGAATTTGCCCTGTAAAGGGGTTTTGTCAGCAACTCAGATTCACACCTCCCTCGGATATGAAGATGCTGATTTTGTGGATAAGAAAATATCTGTGCAGTGACGTTAATTCTATCTTGCGTCATGGAGATATGGTGAGTGTGTCTTGCCCAGTCAGTGCACTGATTAAATATATGGGTCATATATTTCATTTCATCCTTTTTAATCTTTCAATGTAATAATAATATTCATTTCAACTTCAGGCAAAATCTCGGGCTTGGGAGGAGTTTGGTGAGGCCATGGAGAAAGACTATCGATCGGCTCCAAAGAGGTTCTGGCAAACTGTCCGGCGCCTAAGGAGAGGAAGGCAGCAACTCGCTCACACTGTTTACAGTGGGGATGGGGAGCTGCTGACGTCAACTGGGGCTATAGTCGGATGGTGGAAGGAATACTTTGAGGAGCTCTTCAATCCCACCTACGTGCATTCCGAGGAGGAACCAGAGCCGGGAGACCTGGGGATGGACTATCCAATCTCGGGGGCAGAAGTTGCTGAGGTAGTCAAACAACTACACAGCGGCGGAGCCCCGGGGGCGGATGAGGTTCGTCCTGGGTATTTCAAGGCTATGGATGTTGTAGGGCTGTCGTGGTTGACACGTCTCTGCAACATTGCGTGGTCATCGGGGGCAGTTCCTGTGGAGTGGCAGACCGGGGTGGTGGTCCCCATCTTTAAGAAGGGTGACCTGAGGGTGTGTTCCAACTATAGGGGGATCACACTCCTCAGCCTCCCTGGAAAGGTCTACTCCAAGGTACTAGAGAGGAGGGTCCGATCGATAGTTGAATCTCAGATTGAGGACAAGTAATGTGGTTTTCGTCCTGGCCGTGGAACTGTGGACCAGCTCTATATCCTTGCAAGGGTGATGGAGGGGGCATGGGAGTTTGCCCAACCAATCCACATGTGTTTTGTGGATTTGGAGAAGGCTTATGACCGTGTCCCCAGGGGCACCCTGTGGGGGACGCTCCAGGAGTATGGGGTGGGTGGCTTTCTGTTAAGGCCCATTCAGTCCCTTTACCAGAGGAGCATGAGTTTGGTCCGCATAGCCGGTAGTAAGTTGGACCTGTTCCCGGTGAGGGTTGGACTCCGCCAGGGCTGCCCTTTGTCACCGGTTCTGTTTATTATCTTTATGGACAGAATTTCTAGGTGCAGCCGTGGTGTGGAGTGTGTCGAGTTTGGTGGCAGGAGAATCTCGTCTCTGGTTTTTGCGGATGATGTGGTCCTCCTAGCTTCATCCAGCTCTGAACTTCAACTCTTGCTGGGTAGGTTCGCGGCAGAGTGTGAAGCGGCTGGGATGAGGATCAGCACCTCCAAATCTGAGACC